GAGCCATTTTTCAAAATTTGAAATTTTTCGCGAGCCGCAATTAAATACGTATTTAAAAGGTATGTAAAAAAGGTATTAAATTTTTCTTTACAGAAATTATATTTATTGAAAACATATAAATAAAAGTACAAAATATGTGTATTCAATTTAAATATTAAAAATTAAACACATTTATTTTACTTCTCTTGATAATTCTCTTTGGTGAATAATGGGTGAGACGGCACTTCTCAGTAATTCTTTGAGATGCTGGTTAGTTAAGACTTATCGGTGTTTCACGAATTTTAAAGTGGAATACAATGATTCACATAAGTACGTTGTTCCGAATACATAAATAATTCTACAAGCAACCTTTTTTAATTCAGGATACTTCGATTCTGGTACAAATTTCCAAAATTCGGAACATACGGAACGATAAGAATTTTTTAAAATAGAATAGCACAAAAATGAAAAGGGAACTCGGGTACATTTATCGAGAGCCACAAATAATCCTTCAAAGAGCCGCATGTGGCTCGCGAACAGCAGGCTGGCCACCCCTGCCTTATATATTGACCGCTGTAATGACACATCATGAAATTTTAATTTACAATTTCAATTACACAAATGTTTGCAATTTGGTCCAAATAGCTTGGTCAGGAGATCATTACTTTTCATTTCACTTCCAAAATTCGCCTTAGCTTAAAAACATTTAAACAAATGGAATATATGTCAGATTGGGCCATTGCGGAATTCACAATATAAAGTTTTCTACCTAATTTTAAACTGTGGTGTACAGTCGGCGAAAAAGAAAAAAGATATCACCCTGAATAACTTTCGTTCTAATGATCGGATTTTCGCGAACTAAGTGTCAATCTTAATGGCTCCTGAGAGTGACCCCAGATATGCTAATTAGTTAGTGCTAACTATTAATTAAGCTACGACATCTAAAGATGAAAAGCACTGAAGTGGAAAAAGAATTTTAACGAAAGTGACGATAATTTTACGAAAGTTAACGATAATTTTTTTCTACATCTTCTTTTAAAAGAGCTCCTTTCTTAAAATTAACTGTTTAATATTTAACTTTAAACGTCAAAATAAAATTGCGGTTCGAATTTGTTCATTTAAAAAAAGAAACAACGCAAACAATTGAGATTTTTTTGAGTTGCACTAATATGTATTTACTTTTCACAATCAAAACAAATAAGAAACAATAACGTAAATAAATAAATTATTTATTTGTTCAATCTTAGAGAAAAGGGGGGACTTATTTACTACGATCAGTCAGACATTTTGCATTGAGCAATCCTAACATAGAAAGTGTTTTTAAAATCTTCTTATCTAACTGGCTATAGTTCTGATACTTAAAAAAAACTTAGCAATTACCTACAACTAGTGTTAATTGAAAGAAAATCTCTAATTTCCAATTAAATTAAACAAAATAGTTTAGCATATTATCCGGAAAAAAATCTACATGGTATCATAAAGAAAGAGTGAAAGATGGAATGAAATAATTAGTTGAATAGTTCTGTGAATCACACGTGGTCAGATAATTAAAAATTTAATTTCGCAACTAAGATGTTAGGATGACATTTAATTTACTGAGATATTTTAAAATGTTTAAAAATTTTGGCTACGTATTCGACAGCTTTCTATGTTCGGTATCTTTATACTCTTTGTAGTAGATTATAAAACATCAACACTATTTTAGATAATCTATGTTGAAGTCACAAGAAAAAAACTTCTAACATTAATCCCGGTGACCTTAGGATTTGCGCTAAATTGCATAACTATTAAACTACATTAAACATGCTAAGTGAATAAAATGTGTTGCTCAAATTATAATACACAAGGAAATCGAAGCTAAAATGTTTTCTAGAGAAAAGTATTAATAACTAAAAACTGAAGTTTTTTGCAAAGTTCTGAATTGCATAATTATTCTTTTCTAATAATTAAACTGCATTAAATATGTTAAGTAATAATCTTTATTTTCTGAAAAGTCTGAAGTTTCAATCTTTATTTTTGAAGCTATAATATTAAATTACTTTTATTTTATTATAGAGCACTTACTCGTAAGAGGGGAAAACTTAATATGCTTTGAAAATTTATTATTTATTTCTCCTGATAAACTCAATGATAATTATTAACTGACTTGGCAATATCTTCCAATTAATTTTTTAAGCCATCTATATAGCTTTGCATGGCAGATTTGCGTTAATATTTCAATTAAAATATTATCGCTAATTATAACATCATGATTATCACCTTTTTTATACATCTTATTTTATAATAAAATTTTAATAATCAAAAATTCTTTTTCCTGAACTGCAAGTTAAAAGTAATAGTCAAATAAAAACTGAATAATACCCGAAATTCTGTTCTGTTGTAAAATGATATACTCGAAACTAAGAGCTTGATGTTTTAAGTTTTTAACAAAATGCTCAGTAAAAAAGCCTAAAAATATTGTATCCCCTTTATTAAATCTAACTGAGCATAACAGGAAATCATTAATTATTTATCTTTGTAATAGAAACATTTTAACTACAAGAAATGAATTCTCTATATAGTTGGTCCAAGTAGTTTCAATATTATGCTGGCTGAAACGAAAAATAATTAAAATTGACATTCTAGAATACAGTGTAATGTTAATCATTAAAACATAGGATGATACTTTATGAGATAAGCTTTAGCATGATTTCATCTCCAATTCTTGTAGAACACTTTTGTCATTGTTCATTGATAACTTATTTATACGTTGCAATCATAAGGCCTATTATTAAGAAGGGGTTAAGATTGCATTTAGGGGGGAAGGGTGCAGCCTACTTTTATACTCTTGGACGCAGGTGTGAACCTGATTGGTTAAACATTCTAATAGATAAGAGCTACTGTATGATTAATTGATATTCTTGAATATTTGTTATACAACTGAAAAAAAAGTATTGACCATTTAGTCTTAGAACTTCGTCTAAGAATCATTTCGTGGTGAAGAAAAATTTGTTGTAGAAAATTGCGAGCCGTACTTCTGTGTGTGTGTAAATTGTGAACTGCGGAAGAATACGAAGATACTTGACGTCTTCTACCTCTTTGTTTAAAAGGTAAGCACATTTATGAATGTTGAACTATTTAATATCCTTTTTTAATCTGGTTAACATGAGAATTTCTTTACTATCAGTGAGTTTATCACTTTAAAAATTAAAAACGTTTTTTTCCAGTATATATCATTTTAATGCCATTGAAGTTATTCAAATTACTATTTGTTGTATGGTTTGAGGGGTAAATTTTTGCTTTTAATAAATTACGTTACTTTTGAATTCATTTTGGTAGCAGAGTATTTAACTTAAGCTAAGTTTTAATAAATTTATTTACCCTTTTTTGTTGAATAAATTCTAATTACTGTGGTTTATTTTTATATGCATTTCGCTTTATTTTTATAAAAATAGATTTTATTCATAAAATAGATAATACATATCTAGGTTATATTTCACCTGTGATTTATAATTTCATAAAAAGTAATTTTTAGCGTTTTCAGTATTTGCCACTTTTATTTAAAATGTTAGGAGATTTTAAAACTTGGTTTCGTTAATTATTTTTTTAATAATTTAATTTTTTAAAGGGCTATATATTTTTTAGTGCTGTTAAATTGTTGAACTTATTAATAACAAAAAAAATACGTCAAATCAAATTATAATTATTATATACTTTGCTAAGGAACATTAAAAATATGTCTGATTTTTACGATTTTAGTGATTAAAATATCTAGGTTAGAATCGAAGGTTATGCATTGTTAAAAACTACCTCTCTCTTTAGAATATGCAAAAAGAAAGAAAATTAAAGTGGTATTCAGATATTACTATTTATTTAATTCTCACCATTTGTATAATATAGTACTTTTTGTTAGGTTTAAATATATTAATCATTCTCAATTGGTTTAAAATTACTTTCAATATCTTTGGCAATTTAAAACTGTTTAAATTTATAAAGTCGGTCAACAAACTTTAAAGTAGATACTTTAGTTTCAACTTTGAAATTTTAATGATTTGACATTAACATAATTTTTTTCCATCACTGTTACCGTATGTTAGTAAATTCAGATATTTTGTTCAGATTCGGTGTATTTTGTTTGAAGGCATTTTTTCTTATTTACTAGTTTTAATTTAATTCTTACATTTTAAAACAATGATAGATAAGGAATTTTTTAAGACAGCATTGCTTGTAGGTATTCCTTCTTTTAGGAATATATAGGATAGTAATTTTTCGTGTGTGTGCTTCATTATTGACGATAAGGTTTATTTCTTAAAAAAAAAAAACGAATTTTTAAGCAATGTGAAAGTTTTTTGGAAATATTAGTTGATATTAAATTTTTTTTTGTAAAATATGGAAGGACTTGTTAGATCCGATGTTAGTAGCATTGTGTTCTAAATATTTTACGTAAATTTAAAGTTTAAAAATTCAATATTTAAAGTTTTTTGTTTTAAATCATCATCAAATAGCACTGCTTTTTGCTAAATTAATCATGTTATTTTTTCTTCAGAAATATAAAAAATCATTTTTTATATAAATACAAATATATATTACATTCCTTTGAATAAGGTTTCCCCCATTTAAATTATATGGCTATTTTATTAATCTATTTCTTTTTCCATCTGTTAACATACGAATTTCAGAACTATCAGTGATTTTTTTTCTCCCCTGTATAAGCCATTTTAATGTAATTAAAACTATTTAAAGTACAATTTGCAGTAAAGGTATTATAGATATTATTAATTACGCTCAAATAAGAAAATTTGACTAGAGAATGTCAATGAATGGATATTTTTTTAGTGCTGTAAAATAGTTAATTTCATTAATAATAAAAAAATATGTCAAATCAAATTATAATGGTAGTATGCATTGTTAAGGAACATCAAAAAATGTTTGGATTTTACGTAAATTAGAAAAGATAGTACTTAAAGTGAATATTTTTATAGATAGTTTTATTATAAATTTTTACATAATTTGAGAATAGCATGTTACAAGCGTAAGTCAAAACTGATAAAGATTAGTAAAAAATTACCGCATAGTTTGCCTTTTAGTGATGTGATATGATCAAATAAACTTTTGAAAGATATATATATAGTGTTCATCAGGCGTTCCTTTTTCATACTTAGCAAGTGAAATAACTTTACTTTTAACTGGTTATATATGATTTAACTAAAATGTATATACTTAATGCAGTATCTGTTATATCGAAGATTTTAATTTAATTAATTACAGACAATATATGGTATATTACTTTTAATCAGGTACTTTTGCTTCATTTAACTCATAAAAATCAAAGAAAAGGATGGAAGGCGGGGTGATTATGCTTACCTATTAAGCATTCCAAAAATCTATAAATAAAGATTCGATTCTTTAGGTAGAAACACATCTTTACTGCTAAATGTGAATTTATCTCTTATTTGTACTTAAATTTATTTTTAAACCAAAGAGGGGGTCTGTCTTCCTAGGAAATGCTTTAAAAAATTTCATTTTTTAATTTAAACAATCAATATATAAAATCGCAATCGAAAAATTTTTTAATGCCAATTAAGCTTACTATAGTGATAATCAGACATTTTATTACAAAACTATTCTATTTAAATTTGTGAATATTGCGGAAATTGTACACTGAGAGGATAAGTGTGGTCAAAACTACAAGAATATGGTAATATTTGTCCGTGTTTTTGTCAAGAAATATTGGTAATTTTTGCCGAGGGGCTTTAGTAATAATTTTGATATTGGTCCATATTAAAATAAAATATTTTGTCTGTTCCATTAAAATTTGAGCCAGATCTAGGTGAAATTTTATTATTTATTTGCACCAAGATTTATTTCGAAACTGAATACTCTGTGCAAGAGTTATAGACCGATGGAACCCCCTGTAAAGTTAATGTTAATCAATTTTTAAAATATCTAGGTTAGAATCGAAGGTTATGCATTGTTAAAAACTACCTCTCTCTTTAGAATATGCAAAAAGAAAGAAAATTAAAGTGGTATTCAGATATTACTATTTATTTAATTCTCACCATTTGTATAATATTGTACTTTTTGTTAGGTTTAAATATATTAATCAAATTACTTTTTTAAATTTGTTTAAAATTACTTTTAATATCTTCGGCAATTTAAAATTGTTTAAATTTATAAAGTCGGTCAACAAACTTTAAAGTAGATACTTTAGTTTCAACCTTAAAATTTTAATGATTTGACATTAACATAATTTTTTTTCCATCATTGTTACAGAATGTTAGTAAATTCCGATATTTTGTTCTGATTCGGTATATCTTGCTTGAAGTGAATTTTTTTATTTTCTGATTTTGATTTACTTCTTACATTTTGAAACAATGCTAGTTGAGGGATTTTTTAAGACATCATTTCTTGTAGGAATACCCTCTTTTAGAAAATGATTCGAAATTAAAAACTAATATGTAATTTATAAATTTCATAATTTAGTCGTATCCAGGTAAATCGATAAAAAGTTAAAGTTACAGTGAAATTAGCTACTGTAATTTAAACTTAACGTTACAGTGCACATTTATTGTTATTTCTCGTCTGTGTGCTTCATTACTGATGATAGGGATTATTTCTTAATAATAAAAAAGAACTAATTTTTAGGCAATGTGACACTTTTTTAAAAACATTAGTTGATATTAAACTTTTTTTCTATAAAATATGGAGTGATTTTTAAATTTATTTTGTCATCACACTGAAATTCCAATGTTAGTATAGCGTTGTTTTCTAAATGTTTTACGTAAATTTAAAGTTTAAAAACAGTCAAGATTTAGATTTTTTTTAAAATCATCATCAAATAACACTGCTTTTTGCTAAATTAATCATGTTATCTTCTTCTTTAGAAATAAGAAAATTCAATTTTTTTGATATAAACACAAATTTTTATTACATTGCTTTGAATAAGTTTCCACCATTTAAATTATGAGACTATATGAAATAAACATGTAGAAAGCTGTTTTAAGAGTTCTTCATTATAAAAATCAAATTGCAATCTATTATGATAATCGAATTGCAATTAAAAAAATCAAAATTAAGGAGGTATTATTAATAACGTTCAAATAAAAAGTTTGACTAGTGTAAATCAATGAATGGATATTTTTTAGTGCTGCAAAATACTTAATTTCATTAATAATAAAATAATATATCAAATCAAATTATAATTATTACATACATTGTTAAAGAACATTAGAAATATGTTTGGTTTTTACCTAAACTACTAAAGATAGTATTCAAAGGAAAAGACTTCTTAAGAAAAGCCTTAAAAAATGTCATTTTATAATTTAATCAATCAATATGTAAAATCGGAGAAGAATGAGAATTTTTAAGGACAATGGAGCTTACTATAGTGATAATCTGCCATTTTGTTATAAAACTATTCTATTTAGATTTAAAATACCTCGTTGCAGAATTTCCGAAAATTATACACTGAGAGAATAAGTGTGTTTAAAACTACAAGAATATGGTAATATTTGTTCGTGTCTTTGAATCTTTAGAAACAACAAAAAAAATTGGTAATTTCTGCCGAGGAGCTTTAGAATTAATTTTGCTATTGGTCTATCTTAAAATTAAATATTTGGTCTGTTCCATAATGTATTAGAAATACATCTAGGTGGAATTTGATTATATATTTTCACCAAGATTTATTTCAAAGCCGAACAGTCTGTGCAAGAGTTACAGACCGATGGAGCTCGCAAAAGTTAGTGTTATTATTCCAGCCAATCACTTTTTAGTACATCTAGGTTAGAATTGAAGATTAAGCGTTAGTTAAAAATAATTTGAGTTAAAAATGGCGTAGGTTAAAACTAATTGAAATTAGTAAATAAATAATAGAGGAAAATTTTAAATATAATAAATATTATAAATAAATTTGAAACTTTAAGTGATAACTAATTTCATAAATCATTAGACTAATTAGTAATGTGTTAGTAATTAATCAACATTTCGACGTTATTTGCAATTATGAATTTGCTCATAGCAGAGAAGAAAATAATTTTTTAAATAAAATTTTATGCGCCCATTTTTAATTGTACCCTTTCTTTATTTTCAGGTTTTGAATAATACCTTACATCATGACAACTTGCAGTCGCTCAAGAATTTTTGAAATTCGAAATTCGTATCGTAGAATTATTTTTGAAACACCTCATAGGATCAATAACACCCAGGACTCAAACACGCTGAAGGCTGGGACAAATTCACCTGCAAGAAGTGCCAGTGTTGCAAATAAAAGAAGAATCAAACTCAAGCAGAGAGCTCGTGCATGCCATCCAAGTGAAGAACACACATCGAATAAATCTGTACGAAATAAAGACTTTGGTGTTCTTGAGGACTGCGCTCTGTGTTTAAACATGGAATATGACTGGCCACATCTCTTGCCATGTGGGCATATTTTTCACAACGTGTGTGTATCCAATTGGTTAAAACGCAATAATACTTGTCCTGTATGCTTTCGAAATTGGGAAAATCAAGTTCACACCAATCAAGTGCCTAACTCTCATTCTGATGATGACACGCACAGAAATCCTATGCCTGACTCTTTGGCAACGAGCGTACATATGCCTTCCACCCGAATTAATGATACTTCAGAATTGGATACCTGTAGGTCAGCAGATAAAGTTTGCAGTGTACTCAGAGGACGAGTTAAAAAGTCTATTCACCGCAGAAGAAAAGTTCGAGCCCTGCAGTCGATTGAACAACTGGCACTTAAAAAAGAAATATTGGATAGTGTCGTTCTGAATAACAGTGTTCCAGTATGTGGTGTCTCTGACGTGCTGTCACCTGATGAACCACAGTCCAGTGATCCTGATATCATAATTGATGGTGAATTCATATTAATTGATTGTACTGATTCTATTGCCATCTTTGAGGAAGATGTAATATAAGACAATGTAGAGTTTGAGAGTCTCATTGAAAGTGTTTAAAAATTATTTTAACGAATAGCTCACCTATGATTTGTGTATTATCAAAAATATTTTTTTTTCAAATTGTACAGTTATTTTTTTAATATTTACATTTAATTTTTGACATTAAGCTATGAGTAATTTTTATTCTGTATTACTTTTATATGATTGTAGATGAAATTCATACTATTGTTTTAATCAAATAAAAAAAAAATGTCAACGCTAATTTGTAAAAGAATATTTATTTTTTATTTTGATAAACTAATTGTAAATTATACCATTATTTAAAAAGAGTTTAGAGATATATATCTTCTTAAAATGTTGCCAAAATAGTAGAGGAAATCGAAAACCTAAAACAAGTTTGCACACATATTTCAGGAGGTGTGAAAGCATTGTTAATACGCAAACGTTTTGCCTTTACCATAGTGGATTTTTAGAGTAAAATCGTGAAATTTTGAAAAACTACAAGAAAGAGAAGTTTAAAAACCACAATTTCAATTATGAAATAAACATTCAAAATTTGTTCACAGTCTTAACGTTAACTGTGTATTTAAAAAAATGTCCTAATGCCTAATATTTAAATTTTTCAATTTACATAGATGGAAATATTAGTTTATGCATAACTCACCTGATGAAGTTTCAATGTTTAGAAACAGCTTTGGGTGAAGAAAGTGACGTTTATTCAGTATTACAATTTCGTTTACTTTTAAAGACACATATATTTTCTAATTTGCATATTTAGTGGCTGTTCTCTAATCAATATTAAAATATATTTTTGACATTTTTTTAGGAAATATTTATTTTCATTAAAAAGATTATTTTCATTGTACAATTTAACCAGAATGATTTTCAGATAATTTCAATTCAGATATTTTGTCTGAAAGAAGTCTTTAAAATTAATAATCACAAGCGACTGAAAATTTAAAAGAAAAAAAAACAACTCTAAAATGTTTAAAATGTCCAATATAGCAAAGGAAAAAGAATTAATTTTTCCAATTCAATCAACTCTACATTTTCTGAGGAAAATAGTCAATTATATGTGATTAATTTAAAATTGGATTGGAGACAACATCCGAATACTGTTAAAGAAAGGAAATTAAAACTCATTTAAACTAAGTTTTATAAAATTTATGTGCGTATGTTAGGCTTCAAATTAAATGTCGTTGCCTTATAGTGCATAGGAAGAAAACTTACAAGCGTAGAAAGGAAAACTTTCAAAATAATTATAATGTATTCCGGTCAACCCTAAAAATATAGCGGAGAATTTAAAGTAACAATTTTATAAGAAGCTTAATGCATAGTAAATATTCCAGAAGATGCTGCAGACGAATTAAAAAAATGCAAATGGCTAAGAGCAATTTTAAGGATTTCCATAACTGAGTGAATATATGAGAGGAAATTTATTGTTCTAGCCAATCACAGTTGAAAATAATATGTATAGAAGAGAATTTCAAAAAATTTTATTTTCGTCCTTATAAAGTGTGCAAATTTATAGTGCTTTAACTCAGTGGTGGCAGTTTAATTCTTCAATTATAAATAATCGTATTAATATCATTTGTGTTTTTCCATCAATCGAATAAAATTAAATTAAAACCCTTGAAATACAAGCACTAAAAGCAATGAGTCAAGCATACGTTAACCAATTTATATAAACATTCATATAATTTTAAATCTAGATATTTAAATAAAATAATTGCTTAATTGCACTTTTAAAAAATTCTAATACTGTGAATTATTAGATATTTGTCATCATTCAAGATTTATAAACTAAAAAGAATTTATCACATGAATAATGTTTGAGCTTATTTTAGCATAAATTTAAAAACAACGAAATTGAGGTGAGTGGGAAGAAACTGTATTAATGATGCTGAAACTGACCTTTTTAATGAATGATTTTTATTTCTAAGAAAACATTATTTTATTCCTAAGAAAACACACTTTTTAAAAAAACATTCTGCCTAAGATATGTTTTAACGGCTATCACAGTGTAAACATGTATATGAAAAAAATACTGTGTAAAAAAAAATCAATATCTTGTTCAGATGCTGAGATAAGGAAAATGGAAAAAAGGTCATCTTTAGCATTATTGGTATATGCCCTTCCGAATCCCTTAGTAAACAAAACGTTTAAATGTTACGAGTTAGAATAATATCTAAGAGATTCTTACATGTATTAAATAAGCTCTCCATATCAATTCAGAAAATTTACAAAAGAGCTATTCCTTCTCTATTGTTTAAATATTTATTAATAAATATGTAACTTGAATTGCATTTCAAAAGCTGAATGATCAAAATTTTTAGATTTTAAATTTTACTTCTTCAAATCATTATTAAAACAAATAAAATTAATACTTGTAACAACAATGATTATTAAACTTCTCATGATATTAAAATGGATAAATTATTTCGAAATAAAAATATTGAAATATCAGCCGACGGAAATTGATAAAATCCTTACTTAAGTTTCTTAAATATATATTGAATGAAAGCTTCTTTTCATTTCTAAATTTTCAAAAATGATATTTTTTGTTTGTTAGATTAAAATGTAATCATGAAAAACTTAATTCTAAACTCTTTGAAATGATTTTCTTTCATTAATTTATTATTTGTAAGATTGTCTTTAGAAAAATTTCTGTCCTACGGATAAGAGCTAAAGAGAAATTTAAACTATATTTTCAAACACATGGCATTAATTAACTATTAACAATAAAATGTCTAATAAATAATAGTTTTTAAGAAGACTTTAATCTTAGTGACCACAGTTTCAATTTTTTTAAATGTATTTTTAAGATTGCTTTTAAAATTCAATAACAAAGAAATTTTAATAAAGGAAGGAAAGTTCAATCTTTCTGCACAGCTTCTTAAACTTTTTTAGCCGGTCGATTAAAGTGTACGTAAACAAATATTTATCTTAATTAACCCGATAAAAACTCCGAGAATTCAGCTTTTTGGAAAATGAGGAAATAAAATCAGATTCCCAGTGTAATGACGACGAAAATCAGGTGTGGTTAGAAGTTGTATAAATGACTAATTAAGGGTTGTGATGATAGCAGGATAATGAAAATGACAATTGAAGAAGATAACTGGATGATATTTAAGATAAAACTTTTATTTAATTATATTTCCAGAGCTCGGAATACAAATATATTTAATCTTTGACTTTTAAAATTAAATTAATTTCGCATGGTTTATTAATAAGGATAGGCCATGGGAGGTAAATCTCTCATAACTTGCCTAATATAAGAATAATTCATTAAATAGTTTAGTATTCTTTCCTTACATAGTTTTTTTTGCAAGATATAATCGTTTGTCTGCAAAATTTATAGTTATATTTCACAGTGTAACATCCATATTCAAGAAAAAGAATCGCGGTTGACCGTACAGCCTAATTATACTTAGGAATTATAACTAATAAGACACACCTAATTGATCCAGATTAAAATTTGGAAAATTTAAGAGTATCCTATAAAATCAGAGTAAAGTAATACTGTAGTACTTTGTTTGTATTTTGATATGTAAAGAAGTCAGCATTCGAAGTTTACTTGGACTCGGTTTTTCTATACTTTGAATTTTTAATTTCCAACAAAAGTGAAATAGAATTAGTCAAGAAAAGTTTCTCCTCGCGGTTTCACTTCATCTATGACATTTGGCACATTTTCTTAATAAGATATAAGGAATGCCCCTTAAATTTTTGGCTCCGAAAATTTTGTCATGCATAGTGAATTACTATTTATTTAGTGAGTCATAATTTAGTGCAGGTATATCCGCATTTTAACCTGGAGGAAAAAATTCAAGTGAAATTACCGTATTTTTGTTAATAATAATAAGATTAATAATAACTTTTGCATTAATAATAATAATATTAATAATAAATTTTGTATTAATAATAATAATATTAATAATAATAATATTAATAATAACTTTTGTATTAATAATAATAATATTAATAATAACTTTTGTATTAATAATAATTTTTGTATATAATAGTAATTTTTGTATAATAATAATAATTTTGTAAAATATAAGCATATGGTATTAAAACCATTCAAGTGATAATGTTTCCGTTCGTATGGTATAGTATCGTATCGCAGTGTATCGACAATTCCAGTTTTCGAAATTACAGTTCCTATTACCACACATTCAATGGAAATAATAATCTAAAAAGTAGTTTAAATGTAGGCCCCGTTCTAAGTATCATGATAAAACTAGCAACTTTTATCGCATATACTACCAAGCAACATTGTAATAGAACCATATTTTACTGTTAATTTTACCAAAAGTCAATACCAAACTGTTTCATTAAAAATTATCATGCATTTTGGTGCCTCCGTTAAGTCATAAACATAGTTAATTTTACCACATTATGTAGTTTTGACTTTACTTTTTTCTCAGTGAATTTATATTGAACTTCCTGTAGCTTAATTATTAGCACATTTAATTTTAGGGCATGTATTGCTAAGGCAAGTATTCATATCCTTTACAGATGTTTTCATCATAACTGTCCTTTTTAAACTAAATTCGATAAAATTTTGTTTCTTAAAAGTGTGGAAATATTTAAACAAGTGCATGAAAGGAAATGACCTTTAAAAATTCCAGATCAAATTTCTGCAAAGACATAGGGAACTGCAAAACGTAAAAACAGATCACTTGAAAGATAAGAAATTTAATTTATGTAATGAATTTTTTTTTCTTTTTTTTTTTAACGAAATAAAACTGCGGAAAAATATTTAACAAAGCAGGAAAGTTTCAGGCACACCTGCTGAGGGTACAGTTTTTTCAAGAAAATTTTTTCACAGTTTACATTTGAAAAACTCATGATAAATAATACTATTATAATCTGGCTCCAAGATCATGATATTAAGATAATATCTATAGAATGCATTAATGAATGGAACATCAGAACTAATTTTGATCTAATACATTACATACCAAGACGACGTACTGAGATTGAAATCGAGATTATTTCTGTATAAGTATCTTTTCCGCGTAAGTAGCAATTGCGCGTGGAAAACAACTTCAAAGAAAGATTAGGGCAAACCTGATTTTGCAAATCGCTTTGATCGGATAGTTTCAACACCTAACTTTCCGTACATTGCGAATAAATAAATAAATGATATTAATTAATAATAATTATAATTATTATTATTGAATAAATGATATTATTCAA